ACTGAATTTATGCAGAATGTACCAGCCAGCAAAGAGAAAGATAACCTAAGATATGAGTCTAGGGTTGAAAGTGCAGCACAGCATTAAAACATTTAGGTAGCTGCTTTGACAAAGATGGACCCCAAAAAAAGGAGGGTTGCTGCTTTTCTCTGGTGAGAGATCAGAACTAATGCAGGAGAAGACTGCAAGAACCTTTACTTAGCAACATGAAACTTCAATCGATTGCAATAAGAAACCAAATATGAACCAGATTTAACTGACGAACTCTAAAAATGTCCTTAAGAGAGAAAACATATTAACTGAAGAATTCTAAAAATGTTATAAGCCAGATTTACCATGTTAAAAGTTGAAAAATTGTCATCATATGCAGAAATAACCCACCTTCAAATTTGTAGCATATAAGATGTGTAACCTTGTTTGCTACCAAAGGTTTTGAAAAATTTGCACCCATCAAATCAACCATAACCTGATATAGAGAAGAAGCACACATTAAAACATCATTTTGTGGTAAATCATGAACTATCTACAACCGAGGTCATCTCCGTAAATAATTTAACTTGGATTCTGGGACAATATAAAGAGCTACTTTATCAGAAATAAGGAGCTCAAAATCAGTAGCAGACCATAATATTATCTCATGAACAGCTACTTTATCAGAAACAAAAAGACTCAAAGCAGTAGCAAACCATAATATCATCTCGTTCATGACCCTGGTAACCAGTCAAGCAAACAACCAAGGATTTGGCACCTGGAATTCCAGTTAGATCTCTTAAAGGTCTGTACATTATCTGCAAGAAAACAGCTAAAAAGTGTTAACTCAGAAGAACAAGGAGAATAAAAACTGAAAACTACATCTTTTTGTGATAATTAAATGACAATAAGCAATTGGGATTGTACATATTAGTCAGGTTAGCAGTGGTGGAGCCAAAACTATGAGCAGGCTTAGTGACTGTACCACGTAAGCCCTGAAAAGTAACTTGTGCCACACAATATTCAACAGTTATCAACAAAAGCTGGAAAAATATAGGATCTTGAATGGCAATTAAATGCAAAAATGTAGAAAGAAAATGCAACTTTAGAAGAAGCCAAAAAATGCAGTCGGAAAAAGGGTAAACTGGGACGAAATAGATGCTGACCAAGGCAGGGTCAACAGGCATTCCCACGTCAAAACTGTGGTAAACCCACAAGGCAGTGACCAATGTCTTGCCATCGCTTCGAGCAGCCACACAGATAGGATCATCCTGCATCCACCAAAGATGAGGACGTTCAATTGCGTTCCGCTAAAGGCTTTCAAAAAAAGAATAATTTCACTAACACTCAAGAAGGTACAAAACCAAAGCTATATGGCTAAAAATCACGACGACAGCAGCAATAACAAGAAGAAGTCCAGGGAACTCACGTAAACAGCTTTATCGACAATCACGTGAGTGCAATCAGGACCGTAACGACCAACATCAACACCACCGGCTTCTACCATCCTGGACCGAACCTACCAAAATTTGTCCAAATATAATTCAACGGATTGGAATAAGAATGTTCAGTACTGCAGCAGTATTGGGATTGTTCGGATAGCTCTATTCTATACAAATTCTTTCTTTTTTCAACTTCATCATAAATACGTCTTTCAAACACCTTTGTTCCCTTTCCAACTGCCGTCAAATCAGGAAAAGTGTTACAGTATAATTTTTTTTTAAAGAAAAGTCCCAAAACATCTCTGAAGAAAATAGTAAATAGCACAGACATGGGGATTGGGGAAAAGAACGGACCTGTTGGTGTGAAATGGAATCGAATCCTACGAGAACAAAATGGACTCCGTCGAAGATTTTCGAGGGAATCATCTCTTGCTTGCTTTGCTTTCCAAACACTCACAATATTCCAAATTCCAAACCCTTCCAATCCCCGGGGGAGGGGGGAAATCTGCAATTAGTCCAACTGCAGCAGAAGCAGTGGATAATTGCTGCTGGGGAGATGAATCTGGAAGGGGAACAAGACTTGGTCACTGAAAAACTTACAGGACAAGATTTTAGAGAGAGAAGAAGGATGGAGCAGAGTTCTAATTTGGGGAATTTTTCTACGTTTTTTTTTTTTTTTTGTTTTGCTGATTTCCATTTTAAATTCGATTTGCGTGCTTGCTTTGGCGGGAGAAATTAAAATTTAGGAGTGGCTTATTGGTTTGGGCCTATAGCGGCTTTTTGTAGGGAAGCAAAATCCTGAACTTCCTTCACGGCCTTCAAATAGCCACGATAATGGAATGGAGGCCCACTTGAATCCTGGAAACGCCCTGTGACCGTTTAGGTTTAATGTAGTTTGTACATCATTCATAGCTTTTCTACTTTTTTCAATTTAATAGGAGACTCCAAATTTTATAAGAAAAATAGAAAAGGGAAAAGAGAGAGTTTAAAAGTCGAATCAAAGATATCACAGTCGACCGGGTAATATCTCTAGCAGCTAAGTTGAGTCTTGTGGACCGAATGGCTAATTTGAAATGGCCACTTTGTAGCTTTCTTCTTTTTTTTTCTTAAATTTTTTAGGATGAAAATTTTTAATAGTATGCCAATGATAGAAATTCATGTGCATAGAATTACGTAAGAACATACAAGAAATCGTACTGTCACCGGGGGGAAAGTTGGGTTGGATGATAAGGTGAAAGGCATTGTAAGTAGGAAATTCTAACTTCAAAATCTTCCACTTACCAAAAAAAGGATATCAGTCCTAATTGCAATTAATAGATTATATATGTAACTTGTTGATTTTACAAACAATTTTTTATCAAATTACTTAAAACACATATATAAATTAACTTTCCATGAATTAGAGAATGTAAACTTTAAAAATCCTAGTACCTAAATTACATGCTTTTCTTTGGTCAGTAGAAGCACATTTACTTAAGTCGTACAAAAATAAATATTTTTTAGAATGTTATATCTACAATCATCATTAAAAAAAAAAAAAAAATTGATGCAAAAACACCTTTTTTTTTTGGCATTTCTGTACTTTAGTTAGTGTAGCTACAATATCTACTTTGCAGGATCTTGGTTTGACAAGAATTTGATTGTAATGACACCCTTGAAACTGCTACATGTCATAATTAGGGATAATTTTAGAAGCCTCCTATGAAATTTCTGACAATTGCACTGGCCTCTCTCGAGATTTTAAAGATTTAAGAAACCTCCCTTGAAATTGGTTAGCTTATAACAAGTCAAGCCGAATTCAAAAAAATTAAAAAAAAAATGAATTCAGGAGAGAGAAGACGATATGGTTCTAGAAATACCCTTCATATGTTACATTAGTTAGTTAATCTAGTATAAAAGTATAAATTATTGCTGTTTGGATTGTAAGTTATTTGGGATTATTTGAGATATTTTTACTGTAGCACTTTTTGTGATGTGATGTATGTGAGATAAAAAGATATTGGGAAGATAAAAAGGTGTATTGGAAATTGTAAAGATGATGTAAGCAAATAAAATTGGAGAAATATGAAGCAATCCAAACAATTTATTTAAACAAAGTCAAAAGTTTGGAAGTATAAGTGCAAATGCTGACAAATGTAAAGCATCAACTTCAGACTCCTACAACTATTTGCAGTGGTTCTTGTAATGGCTACTTTTGAGAATACTATATAACAACAACAAATAATTAGAATCAAATTCTGGATAGATTATATTCAAGAATTGGGTGGAATTACTGAAAATATAATAAGAAAACTAGTTTCAACAGTGAATCGGAATGACAAAATATGGCCTTGTAAAGACTTAGAAAAGGTTTGAACAAAAATTGCAGTTGCAATCGCAAGTTAGAAATTTTTTAGTTCTAAATTGTGATTATTTAGAAATTGGCACCCTTTTCTCATGACAAATTAGAATTTATTTTAGTTCTAAATTGTGATTATTTCTATTTATTCAATCAATTACTGATTTAATTAATTATGTCCATGTAGTTGCCAAATACCTTATAGGTAGTGAGGCTGCTACACTCATTTCAATTGGTCTAATGTAAGCATTGGGACCCAATTTTATGATAGGGAAGGTCTGAAATTTTTGAAATCTCAGAGGGAGAGGGAGGCAGTGCAACTATGACAAAAATTGACTGAATCTTGTGTTACTGGGCAGGAAATATCCTAAAGTTGGTAGCCAATTGCCATTGTTTCTTCTTATCATTGAGATCTTGGAAACAAAGGAAAATCGAACAACTCATTGAAAGATTTCACAGATGTGATCAAGAAACTTGTGTTTGGATTGCAGCTACCCGTTTTCTGTTTCCCTAGATACATTTTTCAATCACCTTTTTCTCTCATATATATCAAGTCGCTACAGTAATTTTTCTACAAAAAGTCCAGAAAAATGCTATCCAAACAATGCCGTTTCGGTGGTGAAAAGCTCAGAACATTACTTCTTGTTTTGTTAAGTAGATTTTCAAAATGAGTTTTTGACCTCTGTATCTTAGTCAGACATGCTGATTTTATTTGAGCCGTCAGAAGTAAGCTTGTTTTGCTGTGCAGTGCAGGTCAATATTCTTGTGAGCTAATGGTTTATCGTAGACTTGAATGGCTGTTACAGCTATGTTTATGGCTCATGGCCAGTTGGCCACTACGAGGAAAAAACATGTTTTGATCATTTTAATCGTTAATACAGAATGCTTCTGATTAATAGAGAGGTCTAACCATTGCAAAACCAATAACTTCAATACTGAGAATCGCCAAATTGCAATAGGTAAAACAGCTTTTTTGACAGAAGCAAAGGAAATAGATGAAAACTTCAAAACGAGTGTGTAAGGTTGTCAGCTTGAAAATTGAAATAGTTATGGCTTTAAAATCAGTAAATGGGATGAAAAAAGATACAAGGAGAACGAATTTTGGAAATAGGCTTGGGTTGAGATAATGAAGAGTTCAGTCCCAATCGAATAACAACAGTGGAGTACACTCGTTGCTACATTTTACTAGACCTATTAAAGCCCAATTTTCTTGGTCAAAAGACATCATAACAGCCACAAAGCACAAGAAATGTAGCCAAATACTTGAATTTTTTCTCCATATATGTATATACATTCTTTGAATATGGTTACATTGGCCGCGTATAAAGAATGAATGGAATACAAAAAAAATGATATCTTTGTTTAACCTAGCTATACTATATGATTAAGAGGAGTATTATTAACAAAAAGGTGGAAGAAAGTAGCTATATCAGGTGCTGTTACTCTCAAAATTAGGCATGCGTAGCTCCTTGCAGAGGCTGTCCAACCTCGACAAACCACCAGATTCGGACTTCAGAGCGTCTGCTTGACTTAGCTATTGACATAAATGGCTGTTACCTTAAGAAGCACAATATGCTGAGTTTCAGATATTCATCAGGTGCTTCCTGTTTGGCCTCCCCCATTGTAGATCTTTTTACTCGTTTGGAAATTCTTGGTGTTGGCTATACAGAGGAATGGGGCTGCATCTTGTTGCACATACACTCAGGAACAGGATACTTTGTTACATCTCTTCTTGTTTTGCTACTCCTCAATTCTGGCTGCCCCAAAGAATCTCGATGCAACCCTACAATGATCTTCTTAAATTCTGCCCCGGGGAGAGAAGAGTTCATGAAGTGTGAGAACATTTGCCTTTTATTTGGAGTAATAGTCTTTTTGTGCCCTGCATAAGCCCTATGACCCTGTATCAACAGTAAAAGTACAGCAGTTAGTCAGGATAGAATAGCGAAGTACACCAGATGGACAGCAAAACAAGAACATCACCACAGTCGTAGAATAATTGGTCGAGTAACATGCATAGGCAAATAAGATAATGTCAGTTTGCATGAAACAAGGTCTGGTTACTCTGGTAGAACAATAGTTGTCCATCAAATGAATGACAGGAAGTCTTTCTAGAAACTCCACGGCATGTTACCATTCTCTCATGGAAAATACTTAGGATTTGTCGACACAAAGCCATATTCTAGCCACAACAATTACAATACCTGAATAGCGTGGCCCATGTTTCCACCATGGGATGGCATGAAAACATCACTGTTCTCAGAAACTATATAATCAATAGCAGCCATTAAGGAGGCTTTCTTTTGAAAGGGCTCCAGCTCCCCAGGCAAAGCAAGGTCTTCTTTATTATAGAAATGTGGAAACTCTCTAATCAGTGGATCCAATGCTTCTTTTCCACCCAATGGATTCCCTCCAGCCCAAAAGATTCTAGCAGTTTTTGGAGCCCCAAGAGCTTTAAGCAACCTGATACAGAAGAAAACTTATTATTAACTACAATAAGCCACTATGCTTATAAAGAAGAATCAAAATTTTAAACAACAGTATAGAATGCACAAAAAAAATCTAAGAAGCACACCTTGCAACCTCCAAGGCATTTAAAGGGCAGAGACCAGCAAGTTTCCTTTCATGATATGTCATGTTTGATCTTGAAGTCAAGAGCTCTGGCCTTCGTTTTCTCTCATTGTTTATCATCTCATCATATTCATGACTTAAACCTGGAAGGCATCCAGTCCTCACCCATACATCCTTCTCCATCCGTAAATGAAGAGCAAGATATGGTCCCTTGCTTCTCATGCGCTCTGTCAATTTATTACCGAGTTCTAAGATAGGGGGAGCAAACCTCAACGCATGAAAAGCCACCTACAGTTTCAAGCAGGCATTAGTTACGACGCAGATTATGTGATCCTACTACCATAAAAGAAGATAAGGAAGCCATCAGTGTCAGACTACCAACCATAGTAGCACAGTAGTTCTTAAGCAGTACTTAAAAATGCTGGGAGTTTCAGAAACTTCAGATCTCCAACATACCTTGCAGCGAAGTTTTTGAAGGTCAGAAGGCAGATCCTTTGATAGTCTTGAATCCAAGCTCCGCAAAAGCAAGACACCTTCCCTCCTAATCTGCAAAGGAGAGAAAAACATATAACGTCCTGTACAGCATGGAACTGCATCATTTTTTCCCCAGTATATTCTAATAGTTTAACTTAAATTTGGATCATTAGGGAGGAGTCTACCACTGTAATACAGACATCTTTTATAAACTAAAGAAAACCAAGTTTCGCAGTCAAACACAGAAGTCCATCTTGTTTAGCCATGAATATTATACAATGGTTTTTAAATTCTAAGCCACCAATCCAGTTGGACCGCCTACAAGCAAATTCACCAAAACCTCCTCTGGGATTCTACATATGGAGCTATCTCCAGGCTATTGGTCATGAAAGCAACAAAAATTTCACAATTCCAAAGAAGGAAGTGATTCTGCTTTCTCCAGCAAAGCAATTTCGTGACCGCGTACAAAAACAATAAGCAATACCATGTCATTATTCCCTCTCACATATCCTCTTCTCAATCCGTAAATATCTTAAAAGCAATTTCTGGACAAAGAAGTTCAAAAGCACAGTCAGGGGAAAAAAATCTTACCCGTCTAGAATACCGCGAACGAATAAATTCAGGGGTGGCATGAAGGTGAGTCATTTTGTCTTCCAATGGCCTCGTCATGACATGTGTAGATGGAAGTGATGACACAATTCGGACATCATTCTCCAAAACTTTCTTGAAATGCTCCAAGTCAAATATATCAGCAAACTCACTGCAATAATGAGAAAAAATATACTAGAATTAAACATCATTTCCCTCTATAGGAAACCAAGAATCCAAATATCAATAAGGAAACGGGATGATTTTGACCTAACAAGTTAAATGACTCTCGCTTCAACACTTGCCACTAATATTCACAATGACAGAAATAGGATGAATTAGCTTAAAAAGGCCACAATCAAAACCAAAGCAAATAGGCCAATCATCTCAATTTATAATTTAGCAACTAAGACAAAAAATCAAGAATGGTTGAAAAAAGAACAAACCTTTCATCACCCCAGATGACATTAACTTGCAAAATGGGAACAACGAGGGCAGCCCCTAAAATTCTTGCAATCACAACAGCATCAACAATCTGGTTCCTCTGCTGATTCATTCCACCAGCAACCACTACCATCAAATACTTGGTCCTATCTTTGACAATATCAACACTAGCCCTCTTATAATCATTGCTGAACTGCAAACAAGGCCTGTATCCCAACCCATCATGCTGCTTCCAGAACTCACTCTTTTCATCACCATTATCATTATTTCCACTGACTTGCACCTCATTCTGCACTAGACTCAGCTGAGTACTCGACAACCCGTTTAAGACCATAAGCTTGTCTTGAGAAATAGCACATGGGTTGCGTCCAAAAGGGATTAAAGGATCGACATTGAAGTACACCTTCAACATCCCAAAAACCCCAAAAACCAGAATCCAGAAAAGCCAGAATCTTGGATCCCTCCATAAAAATCTGATCCTTAATACTGAAAGCGGAGAAAACGGAGCTTTCTTTTTAGGAGAAAGCAACAAAGATTCCAAAGAAGTAGATGAGATTGAACTGATTATCTGTGATGGCACTGAAATGTAACTCAGCTTCTTCTTGTTGCTCTTTGACACAGCCATTTTTTTTTTCTCCTTTCACCCTGTTTTCACACTACTATTTCAAGAAAGCCCTTTTAGCTGTGTGATGTCTAGATATATATGCTTTAGAGCATTTTCTATGAGGTTTCTTGAGGAAGATTGGAGTTGAATGCGGTTTAAAGAAAATGTGCGGGCGGCGGGAAGAACAACGCGCAGTCAGAAGGATGGATGGACGGACGAATGCGTGTTTGGTATTGGCAATGAAAAGGAGCAGAGGAGAGGGTCAGAGAAAGTGTGTGCATGTGTCAGAATGCTTTGGAGTTCGAGTTCTTTGTTGAAGTATTTAAATTAAGTTGGCAACTTGGCATCAAAAATATTTTTTCCTTTTTTAGGTTTTTTTTTTTAACTCTTTTTTTTTTTTGGGTCAATGAAAGCAATAAGGGAGAATTATTTTATTTGTAAAGTATGGATATTATAATACGTCTTAGGAATTTCATTTTCAAAAGTATGAACAGATTCACCGCTGATTGGGTTGAGTTGGGTGATGATAACGGTTTTAAAAATCAGACCGAACCATCAAATGGTCATATACATTGGCTCGGTTCCCGGTTCGGCTGGGGATGGTTTCTTTGCAATATATATCGTTGTCCATTGAATCCAGATCTTTTCTTTTTTTCTTTTTTTTTTCCGTCAAAAGCTTAGGATTAAGATCTCCCTATTTGAATGTTGTGCGGTTGAAATGCAATTTTAGTTTTTTTTAGTATATGAGTTTTTAAAAAGGTTAATTGTTTTAAAAAAGTTTAATTGTTTTAAACCCCTGATTGGTTAGATATAATAACTTGCAATGGAGCTAGATAAATACCGCGATCAAAATAGTCTGAGTGTGTTTGGATAGGAGATCATTTGGGATTATTTTTTAAAAAAATACTATAGCACTTTTTTGATGTGATGTGTGTGAGATAACAAGGTAATTGGATAACGTGTTGATAATGCAAGCAAATCAGTATATGTAAATAAGGTGTAAATAATGTGTAAATCAAGCACACTCAGTTTCAATTGGACTAATTGAAGCAATTCTAAGTGCTTAATGATGCATTTTGTTAAGTAATGGACTCTTTTTTTTTCGATTTTGCAACTTAAATGTAATATTTTTACAAGGGAGTATGTTTGATAGCTTTTATTTGCGTACAGATTATTTGTTTGTAACGCAAATATATTTTTTAGTGCACCTTTTTATTTTTTTTAATCACCTTTTGAATTCACATATATCACATCATAAAAAAATACTAATAAAATATATAATGAGAAATAAACTCATATCCAAATTATGTATAATGAGAAGAAAATGTGTTGAAACTTACCGATCAAACCGGTTATGTATCAAAGAAGAACCGCTTATAGTGCAACCCTTCTTTACCATTTTGCGAAAACTTTCCTCGTTTTCGTCTAATTTGTTTGTAGGAGGGGATTGTGAAAGAAGACTCGTTGAAGTGAAAGACCAGATTGGAGCACTCGGCCTTCCATTTGAAAGTCAAGCGACTGTAGCAGTCTGCAATGATGCTTCCAACAGAAACTAGAAGAAATTTAAAAAAAATAAAAAAGGAGTTTTATATGTGGCTTTGAAGTCAATTGTTAATTAATGTGCAATAATGTGTATAATAAAAGGTTAAGAGCATTAAACAAGTGCTAATGATCACATAATGCATGCAAATATGGTTAAATCATAATGCATATTGCAAGTGTGGCATGGAAAGTACTTGGAAATTTATTATTAATAGTTTTTTGCATGAAGGAGTTTGTACTTTGCTCTGTTGTACAAGAGCTTTTCAATTGATTTCATATTATTGTTATTGGAATTGCTTATTCTTTTGGTGTCTGAAAATGCATTTTTTTAGTGTTTCACAAATTAATCAACTCTAGCCAAGGACATTAATGACATTTGCACTACTTATAATTATGGTAGTATTAATCATTCAGTATGTTTTGTTTTAGTTCTCAGATAATTCATACACATGAAGTTACACTTTGCTTTAGCGTTTAGGAATATCCCAAAATAAGAAAAAAAAAGATATTCAAGAATGAGTTGCACGATTTCAAGTTAAAACTCGTAAATCTTTAAACTGTAACAAAACTAAGATATGAACATCTTTTTTTTTATTTTTAAGTTTGAAATTTTGAATCTAAAATCTCTAACTTACAATCTCACTAACCTTATCACCCAACTTAGCATCTGATGGTGACAACAAAAGGAGAAAAAAATTGATCAACTCAAAAACATACTTCTAATTAGCCAAATGGAATCTACTGATACCTATTGGTTAAGCTAGCTTTCAATTCACTAATATGTTTGGATCCACCAGTTTTTAAAAAATTAGGCCTTGTTTGGATTGCATTTTTTTGGATTTTTTGTAGAAAAATTACTGTAACGATTTGATGTATATGAGGAAAAAAGGTAATAGGGAAATGTGATCACGGAAAATGATGCAATTTTTTGGGGGAAAATGGCTGTCCAAACAAAGCCTAAGTAGTCAAATATTATAAAAATTTTTAAAAAGTACTCTGAAAGTAGTCTAAAATTTTTTAAATATTTAAAAAATATCCCAAAATATATTCTAAAATATCTGTTATAGTAAAATTTTTTAAAAACACTCTAAAAAATAACTAATCCAAACGAAGCCAGATTCTTGAAGAAAAAGGCTTGCATTGAAAACCCATGTAGGGGTAATAACTAAAGATTATGTGGTCAGATATATTCTAATTCCTTGAGAACTAAACTATTAAAATGTTTGAAATATTGTAAAGGATTTATCCATTTATACTCTAACAAGAAGAAGTAACAAGGAGGTTGGAACTAGGAGAGTGTGATTTGGTCAATTGATTGTTTTTAACTTATTCAAGCTCAAAAAACAAAACAAAAGCAAAATGACATGAAAATTTTGAATCCAAGAAAAGAAAGTGGAATTAGATTTTATTTTTTTTTGAAAAAATGTGGAATTAGAATATTCAAATAGGTTTGGCCTTTGGGATAAAGCCCAGGGAGATAGCACTATCTCAGATATCTAAGAGGTATCGTGTCGTGATGTGATGATGCCAGTTGTGCATTAAACAATAGCCGTAAACGAATCATGTGACCGGCTGCGATTCAGTCCACAGCCTGTCATTTTAAATTGTACTGCGTACCATTCAAAACTTGCGTCACGATTTGAATTGCTATTTTTTAAAATTTTTGTACAAAAATATATTGTAATGATTTGGAGTTCATTTGAATTATTATGTTTTAAAATTTTTATAAACAAATGTATTATAATGATTTGATATGTGTAAAGTGAAAATATAATTAAAAAATGCGTTCATAAAAAAGATAAAAATTTTTAAAGAAAAATGACAGAAACAAGACATTGATATATGTGAGATAAAAAAATGAATGAAGAATGTGTTCATAAAAAATATAAATTTTTTCTTTTGAAAATTGACATCCAAAAAAGGCTTTAATTTTAATATTCAAAATTTTCCCATTTTCAAAAAAGAAAAGAAAAAGAAAAAGGGATTCGAAACTTATCTAATTACCCATTTCAATTTTGTGAATTTGAATTCAAGTCTTAACAGATATTTCTTCCACTGTACATGAGCTGTTGTTTCCAACCATCCTGTAGATTATTTGTCTTATTGATTTAATATATACTTTATTTGTATTCATTCCCATTGTGAATTTGAGTTATAACTTGTACTCAAATAAAAAAAATTACACTATAGAATACGTATGTGTTATAACAATAACATGTAAAAGCATAATAAATTATTTCTTATAATCAATTATTAATCCAATTTCATATCAATTCGATTCTAGCATTACTTTTTTTTATAAGAAAAAAATTTAAATGAATTCAATTTTGATTATTAATACGAGTTAGAACATGTCTTTTAAATTATAGGTTACTTACACAAATTTTTACAAATCATTTTCAAATATAACTCTTACATTGACAATGAAATTCAAACGATTTTTTAGGAGCAATTGCTCGTTCTAATCGACGGAGCGAACATGTGTTGGCATTACTTGTACTTTACATTTGTTCAGCAAAGCACCCACAAGGTACCAAGAATCATTTCCCTCTCATATACAGTAACAAACCGTTTCCCAAGGCCAGCTGGAATTGCACCATAGACACGCTGGCTGTTGTCCTACGTGGCAGAAAGTGACTTCTCAGTGCATGCCACGTAGGCATCTGGAAAGAGAAATATTTGATTCCTAATAGGCCATTGTGGAAGTCTGGTGGGTCCAATTTGGGAATTTGGTTGGTTCGGCTTGGTGGTCCAAAGTTCAAAACTTTTTACCAACTCGTACGCTTAGGCTGGAGTGTCCTGTCCGATTCGAGCCTATCATTTGATCCTTGACCGAGCAATTGGGTCACATTTTTATGCCACTGGTCATTTGGTCCAGTGGTCATCACTCTCTTTGGTGGTGCTGGAGGTCAGGGTTCAACCCCTGCCTCCCTCAAATTTGCCACAATATGTGGCTGGTCTTAGTTGGCCATCCCCCCTTGCCCATTTTCCCTAGATTAGGCTAGTTTAGGTTATAGGACATCTATCGTTGCAGACAAAAAAATTGGGTCACATTTTTGTTTAGTACCTTTAATTTTTATCGGTAGAAATTTTTTTTGGATGTATTGGTGTCCCATGATTATTACGAGATTCGAGACACGTCCGACTGATCACTCACTAATACAATTTTCGCATTAATAACAGAAGTCAAATTTAAGATCTTTTTGTAAGAAAGTGATATATCATTTTCAATGGAACCAACTTATGTTGACAATATCTTTAATTATTATTTGGATGTTTCACTAAAACTTTTGTAATTTTCCAAGGGACAGGATAAGCTTTCTCAACATTATACAGCTTGATTACAACCATATGGAATTTGAATCGCACAATTTACCACTAATTTTGTTTTTATAAGAATGTAATATACTTGTCTAGAAAAACTAGCATGGATTAGAGCATTTCTTGCATGATCGCGTATGAAAATGCATCTTGATTTT